AAACAAAACTTCACTGTCATTCATTGAAAGGAATTGTTGCACATTGTCTATTTACAGTTGTGATAAGAAAGTGACCAAGCTACTTTATCAAATTATTAACTACACTGGTCAGACAAATAACACAATCAACATTCTACATGAGTAACCAAATTATCTTCACAAATTCAATCAATTTAAGGTTAAAATCTAAAAATATTGTCACTCAGATTGCTTATGTTAAGCTAATTGCTATCATTAAATTTAAACTGTGCCTTTTGTAGGTGGATATTTCATATGTCTCAATACTATAAAATTTAAAGCTCCATACACTTACAGATTACTTAGTCAGCACCAGTAGCAGAGCTTCTCATTAATTTCAATCCTTAAAGTGTACTTAATAACCAATGTTTACGAAATAACATCATTCTTCTACTCACTTTTTCTGTCTTTTTTTGGCAACTGTCTGCACCTTACTTTTTCCCGAAATGTCTTCTGTTAACCAATCATCTATAGAAAAAACAAAGTATGTCCGACAGGTTAGTCACTTTTCTTAATGATAGAACTTGTTACTGAATTACAATAAATATCAAAAACTCTACAAAAATTTTAAAATGCAACTTCATTTAATAAATATAGAAAATTCAATTAAAAATATGGATGGAAGATTGAAATGAAACTCATGGCAAATAAAAACGAATTTTTAAGTATGGATTCTCAGGCAAGTTTGTCAACAGCAATAACTGGATGGTAATGACAGTAGGCATCTGTCTATCCAGATCTCTACAGATGCAAATTACATCATCATTGAAACAATTTCCAAAATTATCTAATATTCCACAATATCACTTATCGATATAATAAATTTGGAACGATACTTGACAAAATAGAATCATTAAATAAAATTTTATACATTTCACGAGTAACGAACTATCACCAACTGTTTACCAGGCTATAGAGGAAAACTTTAAACTATATTGGGGAACGATATAATCAAATATTATATTCATACTCAAAACCAAATTAAACTTTCTAATCACATGGTATGTACAAAGTGAAATGCTGGTTACAATATATGAAAATAGTAAGATCCAAATGCCCTTTTAATTGTAAAGTACAATGTTTTATTTGTAACATCAAGTTCCTAGTAAGAGTTAGAAAAATGTTTTCCTACTGCATTTAATACATGTAGTAAATTCAACTACACACATTCTCTAATCTGTACGAATAGCTTTGAAGTGTTTTCCCCCACAGCAATTTATTCCACTGTTTTCAACATCATTTCGTAACTTTTTAAACACCTAAAAAAAATCATACTTAAAGTTAACTGTGAATGAAAATGACAGAAAATTAAGATAATTCACTCACTGATTATACTGTTGTAATTAGACACCTCTTTTTACAACATAAGGCTCTTTTCTCCTCATTTGAAATCACTGATGAGTCATGCACATATCCAAAAAGCAGCATCACAAGTACCTTTGAAAAACACCATTTCAATGCTTGTAGCTAAAATATGTAGTTGTTTTTCTTCACATTGAAAATTAATGTAAAATCATTTAGTCTAAAGGAATGAACCCGAGCAGAGAATAGAATATACTATATTTCTACACTTATTCCATGTCTAAAAGATGTAATATTTTGGAGAATCAAAATAGGGATTTATAGCTTAAGGAAATAATGTCAACACTATCTACAACCTTAAGCTTGTTTATTTACTTTTTTGGGAATTGCATTTTCACTTTAAGCTACCTATCTTGTTTCTGTTTTTTTTTTTGATGACCCATATTCCTCCTTTCTAAATTGAGAATATTTAAAACTGAGACAAGGTATCAAGCCAGCTATAGCAAGTAGATCAATGTTTATATCAGAAATATTTAATTCTAACCTCTGAAGTAAGTAAAAGTAGTTAGAATAACATATTTTGTTCAACATAAGACTTGGACAGGGACTATTCTGTTTTTGAAAAATAAAGAGGTGAGACAGGCACTTATTTTTTAATCTTAAATTTTGTTGGGCATAAAAGTACTGGCCAAGAAGCTGTTTACTTTGATTTAACAAAATTTTTACTCTGAGAAATGATGGAACATATACGGTTTTGAATGGTAGAATGAAAATAGCACCACCTGTAAGCAATTAACTTTGTTCACTGGTCATAGTTTGGCACTATCTATTGTTGAATGCGAAAATATAAAACTTTTTGAAATACTGAAACCAAATGAGGGACAAGCAGACAAAAACTAATAATTTTATTTGTTGGATTTCATAAGGGCTATCTGCCATTCCTAATTTTGAAAGAACAGACAATAGGGAAGTTTGCTAATCAACACCACTTAACACCAATTCTTGTCTTAGGGTGTGTGTAAAAGTCGGATGTACTCAGAGGTAGCTTTTAAAATGTGTTCAGACAAAAGAGATGCCTTTTTCTTGTACTTATGATAAAAAAAAGTATGTTTCCTATACCAATTCTTTTGTGGTTTCTTATGTCCTGTTGATGCCTCCATAGTATGAGTCATATGATATATACAGAGCATATGCAGCACTTCACAATCATAGCAAACAATTTCCGGGTAGCCAAAACTCGACCTAGGGGGCAGTTGTTGACCTAAGTTGGCTGAAAATACTTGCAGAAAAGTCCACAAATACAAGAAAATGCATTTCATTTCTCTGAACACATTTTAAAAACTACCTCTGACTTATACCAATATAGCTTGTCTTTATTTTGTATTGGCTGTAACAGAAAGAAACCCATTGAACCTCAGCTCCACAATCTGGTACAAGATTTACAAAGACTCGAATGCCCTTATAAAAAAACAATCGTTTAGTTGACCTAAGTAAATCAAAAATAACCTCACCTTAGTATAAACTTTACAAAATCTAAAACTCAAAGTCCAAATATATCTATCTCAAAATATACTAATTAAGTTTAATCTTTGATTGTCAGTATGCCTATTAATAATATCATATTCACCTTTAGAAATACGAGTAGTACTAGCACTGACTTACACACTTTATCTTTATCTATTGTTTGGAGACATTCTACCAAATTTTCTCCATTTACTTCTTCTCTGGGTCTCACCATAAACCTCATGGGATAAACAGAATTCTGTCTAATGTTACAGCATTTAACTATCTCTTAAAAATAAAATTCAAAAAGGAACTAGAATTTAAAAATTTAAAAGCACACAATTAAAATACTTATTACCATTACTAACAAAGGAAACAAAAACAGCCGAATCAACCACGTGGCTAGGCTTAAGAAGCTTATGAATTTTAAATTCTAGTTCCTTTTTGTATTTTATTTTTACGAGATAGTTAAATGTTGTAACATTAGACAGAAGTCTGTCTACTTTGCACCACGGTTAATTTCCATGCTGTTTATCCAATGAGGTAGTGTGTAGGGTTAAGGCTAAGCTTTACTAGATTGGTACTAGTAGATATAGACTAGACACAATGAAAATGACAACACTTTTTACCATTACTAACAAACAAAGGAAACAACAAACAGCCGAATCAACCACGTGGCTAGGCTTAAGAACAAGAGCTAGTCAGTACTAGTAGTACTAATCTAGCAAAGATTAACCCTACACACTCACCTTTTCGAACTAAGAATATAGTCTATCTCCTTTCTGATAAGTGGAAGTGTTGACTACATCTTGCTTCTAGGATAAGAGAATTTTTATTAAAAATATTATGATAAACTCTAAAAGAAAAATTGTAACAAAGGCCCTACCATGCGCAGTACAAATGCTACCATCAAATATTGGTATAGTACTGATTGTAAGTGTAACCTAACTTTTACCCTGACACTACTAAATCGTCAAACGATTATACCAAAAAATAAAATAAAAAAAAATTAAACGTGATATCGATAACTTTATCTATGGCAAAGATTTTTTTTACTGAAGAAGTAATGGAAACTAAAAAATATATTTATATACATATATACCCCCGATAGGACAGCGGTATGTCTGTGGACTTACAAAGTTAAAATCTGTGATGGAGTCAGCAGAGAGCCCAATCTGGCTCTGATTTAAAACTAACAAACTTGCAAATATATACACATATATTGATAAAATTAATAAGCAAAATTTCTAAGCACATTTACAATGTAAGAAACGGTAGTTGCAAATCTATCTAGCAAATAGTTCGTGTGACCATATTTTTGGTTGCATAAATATATAATCATAAAATATATAGATGCAGCTCGTAAATTAAGATTCTTGGTTATTAAAAATATATCTAATGATTGAAATAGTCAAGAATGTCAACGTGCCATAAGTAGTGTAAATTAATTTATATTTAGTTGTATATATTCAGTAAATTTTCAAAATTCTTGTGCACAGTTATAATATTATAGTTAAGCCCAATGACGAAATATTCTAAACGTTCACAAATCATTTTACTCCAGTAACGGTCGCATACACCAACAGATAGAAACTTGGTTCAATTTGGTACAGTACTTCTCTCCTCCTCTCCCAAGAGCAGGACCAGCCCATCTCAAGAAATAACATAAATACTTGTATTATTTGGTATGAACATTGGTTTCTGGTATATTAGGCTTTAATGTTTTGTCTGAATTTGGCGCGGTAATTCAAAATTCCGTTTGTCTTTAGTTGGTGCGAAAGAATTATTCTAGTCTTTGTGGATGTTTCAAAGAAAGACTTCCTTCAATCTCGCAGCTAGTATAGGCATTGAAACCAGGCAGTCTGGTACATAGACAATACACACACACACTAATAGTGAATATAGATTTGTTTTACTTGTCCACATGTTTTTTTTTTTTTTGTTGTTGTTGTTTTTCTGTTTGAGTTTTAAATTATTCTATGCAGTACATTTCCTGATTATGCATTTTGCGGATATTTTAAAACGTATATGTTGTACATCAGTGTACTTGAATAACACAGGCTGTTTAAAAAGTAACATTTTCTGCTGTGACCAAAGGATTTGTTACTGTTGAATTTATTTTGAATGTGCTTCTTTTTCTGTTTGACTCTCTGCTACAATAATATTTATAAATCATAATCATTGAAGAACACTTTGTAAGACCATAAAAAACTTACAGTGGAGAGGAGGAAGCCATGAATGAAGATTGTAGAATGTGAAAAGGACTAGGAGAGGTACTCTCTTAAAGCTAGATATTTTGCAATGGTGAGAGCTATATCTAAATTATTGATTTATCCTTGGGACTGTGAGGTTGATGGATGTTTTGTTTGGTTGTCCCAAAGGTCACTTCACTCATGCTGAAAAGTATAGAAGGGTCATGGTGGCTTCAAGTAGTCTGAACATTCCAATGTTCGCTGTGATGGTCTCTACAGAACACCAAATCACTCACTAAGAAACCGGGGCATGGAAAGACATTGGTTTGAATTGTCTGTGGCTGGGGGGGGGGGCAGCAAAACTTGTTTGAAAGGTTTTGGCATGATTCATCACAATTCCATTAGGTGGAATGGGTGCATCTCACTACGATACAAGAGTTAGTAGTCAGAAGCCTTCTATATCAGTAAGGCATACTTACAACAATACAAAACTATGTCTGGTGGCTGAAAACATGGTGGGATATGATGACAAAGTCTGGTAACACACACATTGCATCATCATGATGGCGACAGTGGCCAATATGATCGTGAGCTGAGTCATCTCACTATGACCTTAGTCCAAAAACTCTACATTCGTGAGGATGCACATCTCTAGAGGAAGACAACACTTCAAACACATTGACAGTATGTGATGACAATATGTTGTATCACACAACTCATCATCATGATGGCAATGATGATGTATGTTACCACTTGTTGAGTCATTACAATGTGGAGTTAACCTAAAGATGTCATGTTAGTGAGGATGTACATCTCCAGACTTCAAGGATAAGATAAGAGCTTCCATAAAATGCACAAAACCTCTCAGGTATTCAGTGGTATAGAATCTCGTAGCAGGTTCCTTTCAGCATCGCAATAAAATTATAGAGGTGAGGTACAACAGGTAAATCCATCAGTGTTTAACTCTATTACTCTCAGATGGGTGCATCCTACCCAAAAGGAAAAATGGTATAGTTGAATTAAAAAGTATATAGAAAATAGAACTGTACTCGTTCTTACAATAATAAAAACAACTGTAATGTAACATATTGCGCATAAAAACAACAAAATTGAAACCTTTTAATATGGATAAATTTGAAAACTGTTTGATATAAAAATAGAATTCCTTTAGCAACGAAATATATCACACAAAACTCCATTAAGGGAAATATGAATTATTTTGCAAACAATTATGTACATAAATCATAAAGACAACTCATGCAAAATATTAATAACAAAAAGAATGCATCTTTTGACATAAAATATAATGATAATCCAAGAAAAGAACTACAGAAATATTGTTAAACATAAACTATTCTAAAATATAAAATCATTACGAAAAAGAAATACGTCAGATATCTACTTTCAAATCTTCCCCTCACATCAAATGAGTTGTCATGACTTGAGATGGCATCCTCATTTTCTCCCAATTCATCATTCATAACCTCACACTCCTGTACGAGAGATTTGTCTGTGATGTGCAGACACAACGTAATGGAAAGCTTCACATGATTTTATATGCCTCATATCCACTGTAATTTGTAAGTCAATGGACTAATATGCCAAAGTATGATCCAACCTGCTTTAGTGCTGCTGTCATATGTTACAACATAACCATACAGTAGTACATCCATTACTTTATCATTTTGTCATAATACTTCTGTTGTCAAGTGGCTTTTCCAAGTTGTTGATGGGAGCATTCATGTGCATTAAACAATTTACATAGTCCTGTGCACTTTGTGAGGCATCTCATTGTAGGAGAGACCTTACATCACATCAATATGGAGACGCATTTCTTACCCTAACATGGGAAACAGCCTTTGAACCTCTGTCCACTAGCTCTGTATACCATCATATTGTGCAGCAAATGTTTATACCAGTCTGTTTGGCCAGGATTAATAAATTTGGCAACTTTATGCTTGATAGTTTGCATACCCATTCTGTTAAAACATATAATTGGGGGTGATAAAGAAAAGTGTACATCTTCACCATTATTACTACTTTACAGAGAACAAATGGTTATTGAAATTAGCTCCATGAAACATGTGGAACTCTCAAAGTGTGACAAACTGTGCAATCCAGTGCTCCACCATCACATCAGCTACAGATTGAGCCATTGTATCGATAAGCCTTGGCCCACTTTGTGAAGTAGTTGGTGGTGATGAGTACATATTGGTTACTTCTCACAGTCTCTAGGATTAAGCCTGCGGTATCTGAGGCTATGCTATGTAGAGGATACCCAACAATTCTCTGTCAGAGTTTACCCTGCCATGTCCAATTATTTCTACTGATCGCACACACTGTACGGTATTTTCACCAATAGTAAACATCTTGACTTGAATGCAGTCAGAAGAACCACCATCAAATGCTAATACAAGGACGTGTAATACCTCGTTGCCCTCCAGGATTTGTATATACAAACTATGGAGAATCTCTTGCCTTAGAGCACAATCAGAGAACCATGTTTCAGGGGTTTATAGAAATGATACAGCACACCTTTTTGCGTGCAATACTGTCCATAGAAGTACCACAGCTTACGCCTATCCATGATACATTCATCCATTTGTACTGACCAGGATCTGCCTTGCTGCACATACTTGATCTGTATCTTTCAATTGCTCTTCCTGGAGCTTCCAAATTAGTAATTGTGGCATCCATCACCTTTGGAATCTATCACTGCATAAGTTGACATTTCTATGGCAGAAATGGTTTCAACTTCGACACAATATTCAGTATTAAGATGTTTCACAAATGAACAGCGTCTCACTTTGTTGCAATATTGTTCATTCACGTTTCCATTTTGTGGGCCTGGGTGATGCACTACGATAAAGTCATATTATCGTAAAGTTGTTATCCAACGTGATTTCACCCTTTCTGGATTTTTAAAGTTCATTAACCATTTTATGGAAGCATGGTCCACCTGGTTAGTGAACTTCCTACTGTACAAGTAGTGGCAGTAGTGTTTGGAGAAGACCATGAATGTGAGCAATTCTTTCTTGTTGTAATGTAGCTGCATTCAGGGTCTTCGAGCATACAACTAGCATAGTGGTTACACTTTTTACTCTTTCAGCCAACTGTAATAATACTATACTGGTTTCATTATCGCTGGGGTTGGTGTCCAATAGGAACTTGCTGTTTTGTCGTGGACAAGCCAGCATTGGTATAATCTCTAGAGAACAATAAAGATAGAGAAAAAGTCAACTTAATGGCTTTCTGAACTACGTAGACGTAGAATAAATGAAACTATTTTCGAAAGTTCTACATTAACATATGAAGGTTTAAAATACATGATATGCCTGTGTACCACAGCTGGATGAGGAAGTTGACTCTGATGATTAGAGTACTATATTATATCATCTCATTTTATCTGATGAAGAAGACATTGGTAGAACATACCTGACTATTCGTTAAAAGTCAGATGAGGAAACGGCCAGAGAAGAAGTAGTAAAATTGTTCTGATGACAACCTACGAATCATTATGGCTGATAGTAACAGCTTGACCAGCAGCTAAGATAGTAATTTGGTTAAAAAATCAATGTACTGAAAAGAAAGGTAGCAATTTGCTTTCTAAAGTATCAAGTGATGTTCATAGTACAATATATATATATACATTATCTATATGGTTACCACTTGATCAACACAGTTAGCCCATTGTATAGCTTTCACTTA